AAACCAAGGTCAACACCTGTTGGCCTTCTACATGATCAACCACTAAATACAGAGCAGCTGACCATCTGAGAGAGACCAAGGCCAAGGGCCAGGCAGAACTCTGATATCTTAGCCCCATGGCTCATGCACTGTAGAACTGGCTCCACAAAGCCTCTGGGAAGGGCTGTACACATGGATCCAGAAAGCTGGCTCAGACATTCCCTGTGGTTCCTGAGAATCCCTTCAAGAACCAGGCAAGAGGCCAGGTGTGGTGGCTCACACCTGTAATCCCAGCACTTTGGGAGGCCGAAGCGGGCAGATCACGAGGTCAGGAGATCGAGACCATCCTGGCTAACATGGTGAAACCCCATCTCTACTAAAAATACAAAACATTAGCCGGGCATGGTGGTGGGCGCCTGTAGTCCCAGCTACTCAGGAGGCTGAGGCAGGAGAATGGCGTGAACCTGGGAGGCACAGCTTGCAGTGAGCCAAGATCACACCACTGCACTCCAGCCTGGGAGACAGAGCGAGACTCCATCTCCAAAAAAAAAAAAAAAAACAAGGAACCAGGCAAGCGTTGCAACGATGGTGTCTGTGCAGGACATCCACTGCAGCTGACCTAAGTGCTTGTCTGTATAAGATCCAGGGGACTCTGGAAACCAGACCCCATTGTGCTTCTGCTGCACTAAATTCAGAAATACATAAAGACCAAGCTGTATGAGCCACGGGAGACTAGGGACTATAAACGAGGACTATGTTCACACTTCAGTCAACTATACTGTTCCCTGCAATCTTATCGCATATGTACGTAACTCTGAGAATGATCAGGTGCACCTGGCCTGGTTGAGCTGATTCGTAGACCATATCCAGAGAAGCCTACATGCAGAACTGCTCCAGCCTTTCAGAATGAGAAAGGGAGAGTCCTGAGATGAGCTTCCCCTCCCTCAGGCATTATCCTCTGTAATGTGGACTCACTGGTAAACATTTCGGAGCCTGAAACTTGCTCCTTCATCTGCCTGCAGAATACTGCTTATCTATCAGACCTTCTCACTGTCCTGACTTCCTTCTGGTTCATTTCGGTAAGTCAGTCCCATTTGATTTACCTGTGTGGTGCCTTTGTCTGATCTTCCCACCCATCCATGACTACACTTGACATTGCATCCATTTTACAGCATGTCATTCCTACAGTGGACGGCTTGTACATCTTGCTGTCTGCTGTGGGAAACGGGATCTACAACTCCACTAAGTTTGATTCTCACTATCTGTTGAGCCAACAGGTTACGCCTCACTCCACACCAGCTTGGGATCAAATCAAGGGGAAACCTACCGATGACATTCCATAATAAACTCCCTGCCTTCCTGCCTCACTTAGCAGCAATCTGCCTTCATTTCCTCTCCATTCCCTTCTGCCCCCCACCCCAAGGAGAAATGCAAGAAGGGTTGCTAGGTATCTAATCTTTACCAACACTCAGGCCTGTTGACTTAAAAATAAAATAAAATAAACCCTGTAGCCTGTTATTTTATCACTGATATATTTCCAGTGAATGCCACGGCTTCCTGGCATCAAAATCTCCCCTTTT